TGTTAGGATGGCGCTCCGGGAGTCACTTTGGGAAATGACACCACAAATGCTGCTAATAATTTCTTTATTCACTTCACAACTTTCGACTTACAATAATTACTGTGTGATATAAAACGGTGTTAATAGTTGAATAACTTCATCTGAAGTGACTCTATACACAACTAAGACGTATATTTGATTCTATATGGCCAGTGGTGGGGGGTTATCCCTTAGTCAATAAATTATACTTGCGCGTATAAGTGCCACAGGATGTATCGATTGCTTTAATTGCAATTTAAATGTATAGGGCATTGTTCATAACAATGTAAGAGTGCTTAGATCTCTGTTAGTAACAATATAACGATTGTTGAGGTGGTAATTTAAAATTATAGATCTTTGTTACCAACAATATGAAGATTGTTTAGATTGCAATTGACAAGTATAGTAATTCATTGTTAGCAACAATGTAAGGATTGATAAGATTATAATTTATAGGTATGGTTCTTTGTTAACAACAATGTAAGGATTGTTTAGATTATAATTTACAATAAGGCCTTGTTCATAACATAACGTGTTTTGGTCAGAGACATATTCCTACACACAATTACATTTACACTAACAAAGGAGCAGTTCCGTGTATCAATTTGACGGCGGTGCACTTCGTTAAAGTGATGCTGGAGACGAAGGGTTTCATTAAGACTACGTAGGAATACCCCGTTGCATTATTGAGAGAACAATGACTCGCCCGGTAACGGCGACCAAGCGGTTTGTGGTGCATTTCGTATCGGGGCCCGATATAGTCGTATATCGAAGACTGAAAGATGTATTGATGAACGTATACGTACCTACGTTCATAAGAGCCAATTATCTAGACGTAGAAATTTGTACTATGAAAACAGAATATTATGAAAATCTGAGTAACGAAGCGGCTTAGTAGACAGGCAGGCCAAATTAGTTTCTGAATTCTTATAAGAAATATGAGGTACGAGGTCTGAAAACAAGATCGCCTCTGTTACTGTCTGAAAAAAAAAGAATCTTCTTATCTCTTATTAGTAAGACAATTTGTTCCTTTGGAGAAAATAACTTGCTAGTCAATAATCTCATCCCTAAAGACATTGAAAACTAATAAATATTAAATTATTGTATTCCCATCTATTGATCAATTGTATAAAACCCATTCAATAACAAAGCAATCACTTTGAAACTTGCAATAAATACTTGAACACTTGAAACAGTAACTCAGACTCTCAAACAATATTTTCTTTTAGATTCAAAAACTTGAACAGTTAGAGAAAAGATTTGAGACTTTCTTGAAGTCCAGGCATTTTCCATCTTGTGTCATTTGCCATTGTTCACAGGCGCTGAGAGCTGGAAAGCTGGGATCATACTTGAAACTTAGAATCCAACTTTTAAACAATCGACAATCGATCGGCGGCGATGTTTGTACCACAAACCTCCTTGAAATTTTTGTTACTTATTGTTTTATGAAAAAAAAATAGAGATGTAAAGACAATATTTTCATATGAATTTAAGTAGATCATTTCGTCTTTTGTTCTGTCTCTGAGCCTGATAAAATAGCCATTATTTATGGGGATAAAAACATTCTGGAAATCAAGAAATCTTATGCCGCACAGATGTTTTGCTGACTTTGGGGTAGGAAATTCATATTAAAGTAAAACTAAACCTTAACAACATTAAACTTAAAGCATATTATTCCTCTTTAGATTTCAAAACTCCAACTCAGCTGAAAGACATAGTCTAACTCTCGGTCATTTAATAGCTCAAACGAACCACGGACACTAGCGAACTGGTACCGGAATTGAAAATTTATCAATGAACTCCACCATTCGTCTGCTAGCCTGGTAGCCTGGTACCGATTAGTTCCTAATACCTGGGTAGCCATTAAACTAATTTATTTTATAGGATGCCTAGTATTTATGTACTTAGGTACATTTTATTGGAAAATTCAAGTCTGCGTTTATTGGATTTTACCTAAAGTGTAACTTAGATTTAAAGTTACATGTCTGGGTACATTGAAAACATTGATTATATTACCTACGTATTATCTACGTATTACCTACGTACTACGTATTACCTACGTACTACGTATTACCTACGTATCGTCCAAGTGTATTTAAGCGTGGGAGAGCCGTGCTTCGGCACGAATGGGCTGGCTTGACCGGAGTGATACTATGGCTTCACAGTATACCGACGTGAAATAACGCTTGCTGTGTGCTTCGACGTCTCAGTGATGTTAACGGAGCCCAATTACCCACCACATTCCCAATCTTCTCTCTAATGCCTGAATCCTCACTAAACCCCAAAAGGCCGGTAACGCACTTGTAACGCATCTATTGTTCGGATGCCAATGGGCGACGCCGATTGCTTTCCATTAAGTGATCCATCTACTCGTTTACCGGTTTATCGATTTATAGTATTACTGAAACTTAATTTAATCGTTCCTTCTGTGTAGCTGCATCTAAGCTACGACCTCTTACGTCATCAATTTTAAAATGTTCTGCCATAAATTAAACTATCAGCTCCATAAGCCTTCACATTATTGCTGAAATTTTAAATCGGGAACATCATATCCTGCCGCTCAGAAGCTAGTGGTAAAAATGAGTTTTTATAAGTAAATCGGGGTTTTCGGATGTGGAACGCAGGGATACGATCGGGCGGATATTGCAAGTCACGTGACTCGGATATTGGCTGAGACGGCATATTTCACGATTCTTCTAAAAGCTAGTTCACTGACATACTGGCTGACGTTACGTCACGTCTGTCTAGATTAGATTTTGATATACATAGTTTTTTTTTTATACTTTGGAATTCGTCATGGTGAATTTACGTTAGCTAACTTTTGCTAGCTTACCGCTATAATAAACTGAACAAAATATAAAATGTTTATTTTATCCAATATCTAATTTGGTTGTCTGGTTGAGCAGAGAACAAACAGTTGCTTTAAAAACCGCCTGCATATCTCGCGCAAATAATAAAAATTTCTGACATCAAAATTATATCACAAAACCCGACTGGCTGACAGTACATTGCGTGGCTATTGTGTATATGGCTTAAAGCTTGCTCTCAGTTGTATCATCACCGTAATTAACTCGTTGAGTACCATCAATATAGACACAATTAAAGAACAATAGGTTGCGGTCACCGGTGACCGCTCTGTGTTAGGACGTGAATAGTGTAAAACAGTGATTATAGTATTCTTAGAGGTGCGATTCTGCCTTCCCTCGAGGAACTTCTCTGAAAGGAGGACTTTCTCTCTAATTCATTCATTCATTCTAAGTAAACGCTAAATAAATACAAATTAATGCAAAATGCAAAGTAGAAAGAAAGTAAACATTGGTTGGTGTCCCACAAAGTTTTAGTTACGTTTAGTTGATCCTGCACTGGCTGACTTGCGGCGAGAGACCGCTTCGCTCTGACGTGTGGACGAGATGTAATGAGTTAGGGTTTACTAAAAGTGACAAGTTTATTCAGTTTTGTTGAATATTAC